GGAATACGATGCGAGCTTAAAGGCACGCTCTGCGATCAGGCGGAGCTCGCCTGTTCCATCCAGGGGGTAGTAGGCAGGTGGACAAGTGTTGATGTCGGGCCCCTTTTGCGGCTTGAAAGTACGCGACAAAGGCGCAAGGAGCTCGTCCAACCCGCAACTCACACCTTCGTCCGCAAGCCCCACCCCTTCGCTGTCGGTTGCCACGTGGCGCTGCTTGAAGGGAGGCCGCGCCCGCGCGATCCCAATTATTATTGACACCGGAGAGCAAAGTAACGCAAAGAAATGGTTCTTCATATAGATCTAAAAAGAAAAATACCTCAATTAGCAGCACATATCAAGTGCTGTTTTAGCCATTCCATTAAAGCGACCACGCCGCTAACGCAGATCGGGGGATTCGATTAATAAGGAAAGGATCACAGGTAGTAATGACTATTCAAAAAGAGATGTATACGCATAGATGCGCCTTCACACGCTGATCTCAAATCTACCTTCCAAATCTGCTAAAATTAGCAGATTTGGAAGGTAGATTTTACTTTCCCGAACTTTTATGAAGCAAAACAGCGCAACGGTAGTGGTCGGGACTCACAGTCAAAATGTCGTAGGATCGGTCCCTTATCGTATTACTGTTTTGCATTCTTCAGGAATTCAGCTAATAGGCTATTAAAGCCGTTTAGCTGTTCCTGAAGAATGGAAAACAGTAAACACGATAAGGGACCGATCCTACGACGTTTTGACTGTGAGTCCCGACCACTACCGTTGCGCTGTTTTGCTTCATAACTCCGTTCAGAGAATCGTTTAGCAGATTTGGAAGGTAGATTTGAGATCAGCGTTCGAAGGCACATCTAGGTGTATACATCTCTTCTTGAATGGCCATGCCTTTCCTTTCCTTGTAAGCCTAGGAGGGAGCAGCAACTCCGAGGGGAATGAAAACTCCTCATACTTCCTGGAATTCCTCCTCCTGTGCCTAGGGCTTAGCCCCATTTTCAACAGATGTTTCACGCGGTCCTGAATGCACTGGCACCACGGTGCCCGTAACTTGCGATAGCGCCACACCACTAATGGGGATAACTGCTCTAACTAATGGAAACTTTTAGGACAAGTCACATAAGATTAGGTTGGGTGACTTGTCAGAAGAGTCAACGTATCCCAGCTGAGCAAAAAAAATGAGAACGGATAGTTAAACGCTCAACAACGTCTTCGATGCACAGATGAATAACGCCAATAACAAGACGAGCATGGTGTGTCGGGAAGCAAAGCTAAGAACGATTGAAATGTGTCATGCTATTTCGTTACAGCTGACACGAGTGAATCACTGCGAACCCGAAGTTCAAAAACATAGTCTGAACATTTACGTATTCTTATTTGTAACGGTACGCAATGTTGCACACATTATTCAAAACGCGAGACTTTTTATGCTCAACGACTGGTCGATGTTGTCCGGTTCTTTTGCAAATCCACTGTATTTCTTCGCAACCAATACTACCAATGTCACACAAGCGGAGATGTGGGTCCGTCTCCCTGGTGGGTGGTTTCTTCATTGCGTTTCAAATCGTTTAATTCTGTCGATTATTTAGACATCCTCGAATTCTTCTTCGTTGCTCATCCTTCATCGGGGCGACGGGAAGGCGAGGAACATCAGCGCATTATGTATTTCTATCCGAAAGGGGAGACCTTAGATCGTCAGGTACTTATTTGATTTACTATCATTTTCTTGGGCTTTAAAGGTATTTTTTATTGGTTGATCATACAGAAGCAAGCCACCAACAAAACATAGACAGAGAATATCGCGCGATTGTTAGACTTTGCTTTGGAAAGATGCGGCAGGGATAACTTCGACCTAGATACGAATGCGAGTGCTGCTTGTGAATCCACTTAATAGGGATTCAGCTAAGATTACTTGGCTTCCTCTTGAAATCGCACTGAAAAGCAGCACCATCAAGGCCCGGCGGTGACGCTTTGAAAGAAGTAGAAATTCTGCGAAATGCTGGTGTCTAAGTTTTTGAACAAACCAGAATGAACTTCATGAAATAATAGTCTCATATTTTCTTTCCACGAAACAGGTGCGGATTGCTGGCAAGCGATCAAAGGGTCTCCAAAGGATTACAAGAAAAAGGTTACTTCAATTTCACAAAAGAGTGAACGACAACAAGCAGTTGTTGTTCCCTAGTATACAACGCCTTTCAAGTTTTTACACATATTCAGCAGACTCGACGGAGATTTCGGTTGATAAGCGGCATCTGTGCAGGGCGGTTCAGTGGATTTGTGTGTTGGAGGGCGAGGAGCAGGCAAAGCTCTTTATTTGCAGGTTGTATCGCGCGTCACAAATTGGGGCAGGGTCCTCGCATCAAAGATTCAGAGGCGGCACGACTTTAACCCTTTCCGGACCGCGCACTTTTTGCGCTCACGGCCGCATGCTGCGCGGCAAGCATAAATATCATATATTTAATCTGTATTCCCACTAAAGCCATTATTTTGTCTCGTTTATGTCTTTGTCATGTCTCGAAGAATATATAAGATTAATTTGACAGAAAACTGTTTTGCAAAAAAAG